AAACGCAGCTGACAAAAGGAGGCTATCACGCATGAAGCCTGCTGACTGTGATGTTTGTGTTGGTTTCTTCTTCAAAGATGACAATACTATTGTCACGGAACCAGAAAGCACATATTGATGGTCATTTAAGACGAGTTGAAGGATTTTGATACTCACTGTTGCCTGCAAAGAGGAATACACTTAGTATAGAGAGGATTAAAATGTAACTTTCACATGTGTGTTGCCTTTCTTTAGCCACTCTTTTAGCACCATCATCAATCATCTCACTTTAAAATGTGTGTGTGTGTGTGTGTTCCAGCCCTCCCACTGAAGTTGTGCCAGAGGCTCATCACAGCATCGGGGCATCTGTTTGAAACTGAAATAAAAGTCAAACCTATGAATAAAAGAGCCACATGAATAAAAACACAGGATGCAAATGACTTGCCAAGCAGGGATTGTCTGTGTGTGAGAGAGTGGAAGTGTTGCATTCACCCTGCATGTGTTCTCCATGCCATCATGGCTGAACCCTAGCTTGACTGAGATTGTATGCAAACACACACACACTCTTGCACCACACGCTTACACATTATTTCCATGCTCTCTGAGGTGTATGGTTCTCTCATGCATTAATCAACAGTAGTTTTGACACTTGGCTCCCGAATGAAGAGGAGACCAGTTTAACGGAGCCACACTGAAGGTTCTCTCCTTCCCTCCTCCAGCACTGCAAGCGCTGCCTGGGGTGACTTTATCAATTAGGGCTCTCTAGAAACAGCAGCATCCTCCCTTTTTGCTTCTACCCTCCCCTTTCTCTCCCTTATTTATTCCTCCTTTCTGTACCTCCCTGACTTTTGTTCCTCCCTTCTCATTGTGCACCCTTGACTTGTGCTTCTCTGTTCATCCTCCTTGTACATTACACCCCAAACTTTCGACCCACTTCCTTAACCGTTACTCCTCTCTTGTTTGTCCTTTGTTACTTCCTACCTTTTTCTCCTTGCAAAACATAAAGAACAATTCTTCAACCCCTGTCTTTAGCCTATGATAACTGTCCTAATAAGTCATTTTAAAAGAAAACTATTCATAAGCTTAAAGAACTTTTGTGGGAAGTTGACAAATCATTGATTTAATTATAATTGACTGGGTCCATCTATTTTGGATGATGCTCCTTTTTTTATGTTACAATGAAATGAATGCCAAACATGATTTATTTTACACAACAAGTTATCCATTTACTGAGTCATTTTATTATTGACCAAAACATGCAAAATGAAAAACACAACTCAGGTGATAAATTACTGTTCACAAGAGAACACACTTGCACAGAGGCTTTCTATATACCCTTGGCCCTTTATTTCATGTATTAATAAATCCCAGACAGCCAATATCATCCTGTCTTGTATGTCAATGCTTAGAGCTAAGAAATACTGATACCTTAACTGTCTACATTTTGCGAACTGACTTAACAATGAGGTGTACATTTTTCCTAATCTACAGTCATAATTCTGCTGTAGTCAGCATACTGTGTTTTTGTTCATCTAAATCACATGTCTTTGTAGTAATTGAGTGACTAAATGTTGTTGATCAAATCATCATGAATGTTTTATCAGAATGGAATACAAGAGTTTGGATTAACAAGGACCTATTAAAGTCTCTCTGTCAGTCATTAATTAAGGTGACAATGCAAGTTCATCTATTACATATAGTAACTGTGGGAATTGGCAGGTCAGCATCAGTCAGGAATGACTGTTTAGTTTTTGCTATTTCCAGCCAGGCTCAGTCCTGCTGTGCGGTGCCTTGAGGCAGCTCAGGGCTGAAAAAAGAGAGCAGCAGGGAATAAAACGTGGTCAGGGAAATGGAGAGTATTGGATGTTAAACCCAATGAGATGGACTGCTCATTTACTTTACTTATGAGCCTGGAGACATGAAGACAACTGCAGAACTCTGTGGGCAGCGCTGAGCAAGACAGGCAGAACAAAACCATGCAGGAAAAGAACGAAACAGGAAAAAGCACAACATACTGTATCATACCCAGGCCTGCTTAGAGAGCATTTCCTACAATCAGAATTGTTCGCTTTGACTCGAATCATGGAATTTGGACAGCATTGCTAAACGTTGCTGTGCCACAACAGCACGAAACAGGTTTAACCTTGGTGGCCACATTTGACTCCCACCATTGATCCCTCACATACCAACCCTTTACATTATTCTTTGTGGAAGAGAGGTTGTCTACCGGACATGCTCCAAGAGCAGCGCTGAAGAACTGGCGTAAAGCTTTGAAAGTATTGTTTGCAAGAATGAGGCAATGCTAAGCAACTACATAGTTCAGCGGACGAGCTGTCGAGCTGTTCCCCTCTCTGTTCCCCTCTCTGTCTTTTAGATGTGTCCCTGAAGGGCTACCGTACATGTCACACTTGAGTTTGAAGATACATAGCAGTGGGTGGGATGCCTTGTGTGTGTTGGAGATCAAATGTGCATAATGTGAACGCTATATGTACAGTACATGTGTCTGTGCTTATTTGAGATGTTGTTAGTGTGTGTTTCTTGGTTGGTCGTGGGAGCTTACAGGCTCTGTGCTCATGGGTTCTCTAATCCAGTGTTTTGAAATGAGCCCTCCAGCTGTTGTGGGCTTGAGAGACTGCTGCCTTGGAGGAGGCTTAGAGACGATAAGATGCTCCTTCTATCTTCATTCCTCTAGGACCTCCTCTTTCATTCTTTCTTTCAGTTTTTCTCATTCTTTATTTTCTTCCTCCTTTCCTTAATCTTCTTCTGTCTTTATCCCCTCTCTAAATCTAGCACGTTTAATATCTATGTGGCCATGAGAATGAACACTTGCACTGATCTCATGCTGCCGATACAATAGCCCATGCTGTTAGGGTCGTAACCCTTCGTGTGAACTTTGCCTTTTTTGCAGGAAATCCTCGATTAAGAGCATAGGTTGATTTTGCGCATGAAGTGAACATTGTGTACACAGAGGATATAAGAAGATCAGACTAGAGGGGTGACCTAAAACCCTGTTATTCATTATATTATACATATATTGATGGCCTGAGTTTGTAGGCGTCATGAGGGGTAATGGGAGGCCATTAGCTGCATTGTGACGTACACACTTAGAGGACGTTACATTACTTAATGTGCAATCTTGTATTCAAGCAATTGAGTGAGGAGTTATACTTCTGTAAATCATACATATTGACATAGAAGTGGATTTTTTCGCCTTTTACGTAAATCGCTTGCATAATGTATGGCAATTCTTTTCATGAACATATCTCAAATGAACCATTACTGAGCGGAGCAGTTCAAGCACTGCCTATCTGCACTGTGCCAGCAGTGAGCCTGCCGGGTGTGTGGTGTCTGCCAGCAGAAGGAAAGCGTAGGAAGTCTGCAGGTGTCCGACGGACAGAGAGGGAGCAACAGGCAGTCTGTCAGCTAGAATATGATGCTGAAATTCAGAACCCAAATTAGGCATAAACGACACTTATGTCCTTACAATTCATAGCACATGCCTTATACATTTTGTGACTTAAAAATAAATCAGATAATCTGATGTATGGTGAGATTTATATTGTGTTGTCGGAAGTGATCAGTGATTGCACTTGACATCTGGCTTGACTCCTACGTAACCACACATGAAGGCCTGTAGTTTCTAGTATTGGCTTATGGAAAGATCATCATCTTACATTATCACTAACAAGGACATGATCAATTATCTGTAATCATATCAGTGCCATCCTCCTCCTTACCATGTTTAGATAAGATTACTTCCCATTGGGGTTTTTGGACATGGATACATGCTTGCGGGGGAAGTCTAACTTAATTTTGCCTGTAATGTCTTTAGCTGTTCCAGAAATAGGATGCATATACATATTTGTCTTTATGGGTCTGTTGAGGCTGACAGCTAAGTGCAGATGAGAAAAGCTCATCAGTTTCTTAGTTTGAGAACATATACCTTTGTTGCATGGAAAGAAAACAAGCTGTCATGGTTGTTTAGTATGCTGTGTGCACAGGAAGCGGCAAATAATACTAGAAATAACCATTACTATTCCCACTTGTCATGTTCATTTAGTATGTATTGATACACACTGCGTTCCCATGAAATTAGCAAGAAGCAAATTGTTTTAGGGAAATGAATAACTCAGGAGACAGCCTATCGTGTTTCCCCATTAAACTTTTAGATATTTAATTTGATCCCTTCACAATGTGGTCGAGACGCAGTGCTTCTCAAAGTGTGGTCCGCGGACCACTGGTGGTCCGTGAGCGCCCCCTAGTGGTCCGTGAGTATATTGTTAACATTTGACATTTGAAATAAATTAATTAATTAGAGCTTTCCGCACTCTCGCGGGAATATCTCCGCAATGGAGCGAGCTTAAGTTTCACTCTCGATTGCATGATATAGCCCCGCGCAACACCTTCATCACACATGTTGCCACTTGTTTGTACCATTTTCAGGCGATTTGTAATCTGTTCTAGAAAAACAATGTGATTTTGGATATTTGTGGAGTTAGGTGGTCCGCGAGTGTTTTTTTATTGGTTAAGTGGTCATTGGTATGAAAAAGTTTGAGAAACACTGGTCTAGAGGTTTGTTTAGCTGATGAGAGCATTTTAAAAGAGGAGTTTGGTTCAGAAATCTGTTGTTTTGTTGTAAAGGCGGTAGAAATTGGATTCAATGAGACTTACACATGACTTTTCCCTTTTTAAAATATTAAACCTTTACGTATACATGGGTATTTATTTATATCACCATCTCTGTCTGTGTCTTACTTCTTTATCTTTGACCTATTAAACACATTTATTTTCCCTATAACACTTGTTATAGAGGACTCAAATAGCCTTAAGGAGGACTGAATACTTTCTATTACAGTGAAAAAATATGATAGGAACGATTGTGTAAGATCCATCCAGTGGGAGTTGTTATGCTACATTTCGATCTCATTCTGTCCTCTTGTTTTACTTGTTCGCACGTTAGTGCCGTGTGTACTTATTTATGCTGTATCAAGACAATGATCACCGCCTCCTTCCTCCTGCAGTGTGTGTGCGGGCGCTGGATGTGACGGTGGCCCAGAGCAGTATCCAGGTGGCCCGCGGCCAAGCAGCAGTCCTGCCCTGCTCGTTCACCACCAGCGCTGCCCTCAACAACCTCAACATCATCTGGATGGTTACACCACTGTCCAATGCCAACCAGCCAGAACAGGTAGAGTGTTTATCACCAGTGCACCCACTCACTCACAGTGACTCGGCATCATTGCATGCTTTAGAATTCCTCAAATCGGTTTGTTTATCATTAACTGTGATGAGAGATTTTGTTATAAAGTAGACAGAGGTGAGTTGCAATGTTTAGTTACTTTACTGAGATGTCTACTGTCCTACTGAGATGTGTGTAACTTATGTTCTAATGCAATGTTACTGCATACGCATCATGTGGATGTCCGTGCTGCTTCCCAACACCAACCATAAAGTCAAAGCAGGTACACAAGACTTGATCTATACTAAGGTGTGCTCAGATACAGCGCAAAGAGAATTGAATAATCTTGAGAATCGAGAAATTTGAACAATGCATCCACAGAGAGAGAGACTCTCTTAAGCTTAAGGGACATCCAGCGCAGTTACATGGCTGATGATCATAGTTCACTATGATGATCACGGTACTGCACATGTATGCCAAATGTGCAGTGACACATGTGTCTAAAGAAACTGTCTGCATAATTGCTACATTACAGTCCATTTTGCACCCAATACAAATACACCAGATTTCTCTTTCCAGTGCACCTGAACGCACCTTTAGGGTCTTAGTTATAGATATTAGATGACTGTATTAGCTAGTATTATATATATAGTAGTAGTTAGCTTAAGGTATGTCCATAGTTTAGTTCACTTTCTCAATGTAGCCTGCAGGACAGCATTGTCATGTTGCACTTCTCTACCTTTCCCTCGACAGTGATGCACATTTAACTGTTATCAATTTGTTGAGAACATTGGCAATGGTTTAATTGGCACACACAAACATTGCATGATGTGGAATTTAGTTGAACATTGTGTCCAACTGGTTTCTTACCATTGTCCTTTCCTGGCCTACTACTCTTAATAATAATAATAATGCATTACATTTTTTATTAGAGCGCTTTTACAGGTGCTCAAAGCGCTTTTCAAGTACACATTACACATATTAGACATGTAAGAGTCATTACTGCGGACATTACCCACAGGAGCAAATGTGGGTAAAGTGTCTTGCCCAAGGACACAAGGACACATATACTCTTATTTTCTTTCTGTTCTTTTTTCTTCTTCTCACCTTCCCTTCCTTCGTCTCTGTCTCTTTCACTCTTCCTCCCCCCTTGCGGGACTTCTGTGATTCCATTTGAGTTGTTTAACATGCAGCTGCAGGCCGTACAAGCTCACCTGCCCCCCTTTACTTTGAACCCTGGCGCTGGTCGGCCGTCCAAATAATACAATCATCTTCTGCACTAATTAACCCACGCCCACGACAGGCTCCATATCGCAGCTGTTCTCACCACACACACAAACACCGACTCACACACACACACACAAACTGGCATTTGACAGACTGCTGATCCAAATGCACTGCAGATCCACATACAGACATGCAGAGCTTCATTATATTTACTGGCTTCATACATGCATTCCAGATGCTCAATAGAAGTGTGAAAACTCCCATCAATGTTTCCATACATCCATAAATGCACACATAAGAGTTAATCAAATGAGCACACCTGTGGCTAGGGGCGTATGACATTGAAAACAACAGTAACACATAGGCAGCTACTCGTGGATGAATGCATGTGACTTTTAGATGCTACGCAAAGAAATCGGATACATGTAAAAGCCTGCATAACAATCATTATGTTCTCACGCTATACCCTCACACGTGTTATATAGTGTCCATGTTAATGTGCGTATACCTACGAACAATGGGTAAAAGCACAGTGATGCACACATGGTCTTGAAGCGTGCATTGTCACAAATTGAACATTAAATACAATATGCATACAGTGACGTACAGAAGTAACAGAAGAAGTGTGAGCTATAATTTAGCAATCAGGTTATGCATGTGAATTTAGTGAGTGATGAAATGCGTGCGGCGACAGTACAACTACAAGGTCATTTTCGATGAAGAGAATGTCACAACTGATTACAGTTGATGCTAAAAGCCATTAAGAATTACTGAACAAAATTCTGTACACTTCCACACCCCCACAACCCCCGTAAGCACTTTAGCGAGTGCATTTGGTCCACTCAGATCCCCCTGTGCTCACATTTGACTACCTAGTTCAGATAACAAGAGGCAATGCAACTTATTTAGCACTCTTGAGAGGGAAACAGTACCGGCTTGACTTTGCAAACTTTAGCCGTTTGTTAAAGCCCATATTATTCCTGTATTTGCTCGATGCTTTGGTTCGCCAAGTTGTTAAAGACTTCACCTTGTGGTTTACAGGCTTAAGCTTAATTAGACTGTAAAAGTTAATTAATCAAGTGTGAGCTTTATTTGTTGTGGAGAACGAGTGCCAACGTTGTGCTTTGCTGTCTGAGGAGCATTACAGATGATTTAAATGTGGACAGTTTGCATTTCCCCTCAGCTCAATGGAATTGTATTGCATCTTCTGTGTTTTTGGTTTTCTGTAGCAGAACTTTTGACTGCAGCAGCAGATAATCCTGAAATACACTTCATCCCCAGCAAAACTCAGCAGACAGACACAGTTAGAGACCAGCTGATCAGCATATAGGAGCATTTAACTGCTAAGAGCTAGATATTTCCCTCATGAGTTGGTGGGATATTGGACGAAAATTCACAAGGTGACGACAAATACAGTAACTAACAAATGGTTATGTTTCTTTTTTAATTCTTTCTAAATATTAGATTTGTTGTGGTTTTAGTCATTTTGTTTCACTCTGTGTTGCTGATAAGATAAGGTCCATATTACAACATGTAGCCATGCAGCTCAGAGGAGTGTTTGTTTGTGTGTATGTATGTGCATGTGTTGTTTTCTGCGTAAGTAATCTGTGTATCATGCTGTTGTTGTGATCAATCTCCTGACCTTTCCTCTTGGTTGCTAGGTGTGTGATAATCCTTGAACACACACAACCACACACACACACACACACACACACACACACACACACACACACACACACACACACACACACACACACACACACACACACACACACACACACACACACACACACACACACACACACACACACATACATTAGACAATCGTTTTATTCAGTTGTTTATCCTCTGTAAAATGCTGGATATATTTTATTCATGCTCGATTAAAGCTCCAGGTTTTTTTCTCCTCTTCAACTCTTAAAAACTGATAATGTGTCAAAACTGTTGGTACAACACATAAAACACATTTCTTCAATTAGCTGAGTCCGGCATTTCAATATTGTCAGCTTTGCCTGAAATCGGTTTAAATCCAATTTCTACTCTCTCTTCCTACCTACAGTACTCTAGCTGAAAGGAGAAGTTTTATCGATAACACGACTGATGAAAACGTTTGATATGCCGTTGCATCACTTCTCAATTAATTTGAGTCTGGAAAAAATGTTTTCAATTCCTGTAAAGGTTGCCATGTTGATTTTTCTAAAAACAATTGCACTTATGGTGAAATGAGGCTCTGTTGAAATTGAGGTCATAGAGAGTCTGTGGTACAAAAAATCATCTCAATCTATAATTGAAAACAGATACGTATTTTAGCTGATCATACTCTGATCCTTATCTGAACCTAACAATCCACCAGAGGATAGCTCAAATAGATGCTGCTTTCACAAACCCTCATCATTGCCTCCCCTAACTTTTCCTAAACCCTTTTTGCAGGACACGTCAAAGAAAATGAACAAGGGCCTATTTCATACAAAGCCATAAGAGACATGTTGTTTGTCTGAGGCTGTAACTCCTCCCTCTGGAGAGGTTATATTACAACTCCTACACTTAGCTTCAACACACACTCTCATACACATTAATGTGATACCTTTTATCGATCTGCACGGAGGAAGTTCTTTTTTTATTTGCTTACCTACTTCCAGGGACATCAGTATGCAGAGTCAGCAACCGTCATTTTCACCAATAGGGTTTAAAGTGTCTTTCTTAAAGGTCACTTGAGCATAATAATTCTTGCTGATATTAGGACTTGAACCCTTACCTTTAGTTGAAGGACACATCACTAAACCTGCCTGTTCCCTACGGAATCAAGGTCACAGTCACAACCTTGGACATTGCATACCCTAATCTCAAAGACCAAATATGACCATTCCTCCGTTGACTGAACCAGTGAAGTAGACTCCCATTTGAGACCAAAATCTACTGCAAATGTACAGTACATCAGTTTATCTTCTTTCTGGGATTTCTTCTGGGAATCAATTCTATCCATCACTGATCCATTTTTTATTGTAGCACTGTGACCGCATGGTTACGACAATATAGAAACTCATTCCTTTTTTAGGACATGTACCTTTTACACAAATGTCCTTTTTATTATGTTCTCAGATTTTGTTATGCAGTTCCTTCTCACCTCTACCTATGTTAACGTTGCACATTAACATCATAATTAAACATCATCATCATGGATCACTGGTGTATGGATGTTATGGATACATCTTATTGTTGTATTTTACTCCTATTGCTTTATTTTGTATTCATAGCCACATTTAATTTTCCCATATTGCACCTATTCTCCCCCCTGCTGTCTGAGGTGATGGAATATCTCTATTTCCTCTCTTCCCTGAGGGTTCTTCAATGTGTTTACTTGTTATTGATTACAATATTTATTCTCCTTATGATGTTGGGCTGAATAAACTTGACCTACCCAACAAAGAGAGTTGTTGTAGCGTACTTGAATGCACCACAAAGAAAACACAGCAACTGGCTGATGATTGTGCTCACTGACTGTACTGTGTGCTTGGGAATATGGCATGGGTAAAGTAGATGTTACGTAGAGTATGGGCTAAATCATTCAAAGCCAGCAGTTTGAAGAGATGGGGAAATGGATCTGGGCCCATATTGTTTCACAACATGTCTCAGAGGATATAAAGGGATAACAGTAGCAGCTTACAGTCAGTACATTGACGGGAGGCTATTGAGGTTTAGAGGTTTATTCAGGCTTTATTGAGGTGGTGGCAGTGTCCCTCGTGTCTGGGGCCAACAGGGTCCTTAGGGTCAGCCATAAGTAGGCTATGGTTGTGAGACTGACACCGTGACGGAGAATATATGAAGGTTCCTTGTGTGCATCCAGTTGTCGCTCACACTTACAGGCTAGATTGTAGCAAGAAAATGGGATAGTTAGTGTGAGGGAATGCTTGCAGTGCCTGTGTGTGTGAAGGGATTTAGGATGTAGCAGAGGTTTACCACTGGGCCAGCAGCGGGGCGTCCAGCTAGTCCAGCTAGAGTTCTTAGGGCCAGCCGCCATCTGAGTGCCAGCCATGACCTCTTTTTATCCCAGCGCACAGCTACAAAGCCAACCAGGCCATGCAAAATGATGATGTGATTTATATACACATAGATATGGACAGAGACAAGAGAATAGGTGAAATGTATCATGTTTTAAGGTGGAAAAACACAGTAAAAGGGTTTTGAGATACAGTATTGTTACCTTAATATATTCATTTTTGTAGATTTGTCAAAAATAAAACCCACAGAATTCAGAAAAATATGATAGCTAAATTATGAGTATGATGCAATCACAATTTTGGGCCTGCGTTAATACACACACAAACACGCACAGTGTGTTGCGTGTGAGGAGGATTGATCGGATCACTTTCACCGAGCAAGCAGATTATATAGTTAGGTCATTAGGAGTGTAGAGCCAGGTCATACAGGTGCCGTCTGTTAGAGAGTGAAACAGAGAGGTGGGCAGAGACGGACAGCCTGAAAAATGGAAAACATATTATAGATTAGACTGGGAAAAAGTGGACATACAAAATATATGTGAGACCACATGGTTATTAGAGTGTGGCAGAACAATTACACACCGGCACACACAACTCAAAACTGATACACTCCCCATGAGTATATGAATATACAATGAAACACACACTGACACACACATACAGAAGATGCAGTTGCAGGCTCTCATCACAGCTGAGGAGCTGCCTATTCATCTGCACATAAGAGGACAAAGCGAGCGTACTGCACTCAGGAAATTGCAGCCGCACAATTTACAACCGTTAAACAGCGGTGGAGGACAGAGACACATACACACTCCTGCAATTTTAGAACTATCACACACACACACCCACACACACACACACACACACACACACACACACACACACACACACACACACACACACACACACACACACACACTGGTGCCGGTTGTTTCCCTGCTTGGTTCTTTGAACAGTTCAATGAGGGCTCTTTTCACCAAAGTGAATAGCCGCTCTGATTCCCCTCCATGCTTTGTGTACGTGTGTGTGCGTGTCCGTGCGTGACTTAGTGCACGTGTGTGTGTGAGTGCATACTTGTGTGCACATAGCCTACCATGTGTTTGCGTGGCTCCTCTTCATCTTTTGTGTGAGCCCAGCTGAGGGGTGAGAGCTTATTTGCATGTGGCTCGGCCTCACAACCAAACTGTTCAGACCACGTCTAAAGGCCTGAGAAAAGCTTTTGAACAAATTGATCCATAGTTGCTGTAGACCTGACAAGCTTATACCTCACCCATAGAAGTGTTTTTATTACTGTGAAGGTCAAAGTTATGTTTGAATTACTTGCAGGTTGTCATACATTGTGCACGAACCTTTCTGCATTGTTACTTCTGCATTCATCTGATTGCAGTTTATATGTTTCCAAGTTTCAATTATGCATACCATTTAGCGGATGCTTTTATCTGAGCTTTATGGTACCATAAAAGCATATTTTTAGTATGTACTTCTTACTCTGACATTTACTCGGTGAGCTAGAGACAACCACTTACAAATAAAAGGTTTTTCTCCGTGTCTGTCTGTCTGTGTGTTTGTATCTTAAGAGCAAAGTCCGTTTGCTCCTTAACTTTCTCTGTCCGTTGTTCAGCCTCATAGTGGAGCTTGGGCTCCCTCTAGTGAAAGACATCTGTAACAGGCCACTACAGTAAATGTTCAAGATGCACATTCATAAAGTTTACTGAAAATGACCAAATGCATTGAGTTGGGTATTATTCTCTACATTTCTTTTGACTACAGGAGCAGATTATGTTGTCTTTTGTTATTCGTAATAAACATCTCTGAATTGCTATTTCATAATATTTGTTTCTCTGTTCTCTTCCCCCTCATTTCTCGCTGAACTCATGTCACCAATGTCACTTTCTGCCTTCCAACCCTTACCATTTACTTTTCTATTTTACCAACTCTATCATTTTCCATTACTTTCTCTGTCCCTCTTCCATGACATCTCAATCCAGGTGATCATTTACCAGGGCGGCCAGGTGTTCAGCCTCGCCAACCACCTCATTGGGCGTGTGGGCTTCTCGGCCACCATGCCAAGTACAAGTGCCTCGATCTTCATCAACAACACCCAGCTGTCGGACACTGGGACCTACCAGTGCCTGGTCAACAACCTCCCCGACAGAGGGGGGCGCAACATTGGCGTCATTGGGCTCACTGTTTTGGGTAACTTGCTTACATACTTTTTCTTTATTAAATGTGAAGAAAATACAAAAAAGTCTCTAATTTCAGATATAAGCAGGTTTAAAGATGTATCTATTTCAACAACATGTCATAACGTGTTGGTCACTGCATTGACTGAGACCATGAAGAGAATAGTTAACATTTTGTATGTCAGGTTTATGAGAACTAATGCTAATAAGTATTGTATTGGCTTGGTTTTTAACATGAAAGCTTGTGTTGCCAAAGGTACAGCTCTTCAATTTGTAAGCAACCAAGATAACATTTTTAGACAGGCATTCAATACAATTTGCTGTCAAAAAGCATGCAAGCACTCTTGAATTGATGATTCTTCAGCTCTTGAATATACCATTTTGAATATTCGACAGTCAGGAAAACATTATATTTGCTTTGCAAAGTGGTTAACACAACGCCACCCACTGTCTCCATCTGCCAGTGCCACCCTCGGTGCCAGCATGTCGTATCCAGGGCACTCTGGATGTAGGCAATGACATCATGCTGATGTGCAGCTCCGAGGAAGGTATTCCCACGCCGTCCTACTCCTGGGAGAAACTGGACACGCTGCCCAAGCTGCCGCACAACGCCATGCAAGGTATTACAAACAGGCTGGTCGTCGGAGTTCCCTTTTGCCCCACCTTTGCTGGTAAATCTCACACACATGGCGTGGCTCAGCCTCAGCCACAATCCCACCATCACCGCCACCTGTCATGTGCCAGGCCCGAACCCACTGATCCTGCTGAGGGGTGATGATGGATGGAGTGATTCAAACCATGTGAATTTGTGAATGAGTGTGTCAGGAGTGTGTTTGTGCAATTAACCCGGATAATCTGTGATGTTTTGCCTGATTCTCTCATGCTGAATAGCAACTCTCTCTTTCTGAGTTGGGTTTGGTTCAGCATCAGAGAGCACTGGTGTAGTCGACTCTCCTTTCTTTTCCAGCCAAATGATCTTCATCATCAGTCACCGTCCTTTTCTGTGTACTACTGTAATAGAAGTAAAATACAAACTGTAACATCATTTGCAAATAGCAGATTCTATAGCAGAAGTCCATCTTTTTTTTCTTGTACAACTATTGTGGACAAGCATTGGAAATGACTAAATAAATAAAAGTGTCTTAAACTGTGTATATTAACTAAAGGTACATAATATATATCTACCATTAGAGATAACTTTTTTCAAGATACTTACATTTAAACGATATGAGGAAATTAATATCAAATTTGCATTTTAAAACTATCTTATATCCTCTAATTTATTCTGTGAGAGCCCTCAATACCTCACTGATTTGTTTTGATTCTGTCTTCTTCTGGTGTTTGAATTTAGATTTGTATTGAAATTAGATCCTACATTTGTCAGTTTTACTCTTTCTCTGTGTGTCCAGTTTGACACAGACAGATGTACTGCTATTTTGTAGAGAACAGATGAACCTGTAGTGTGAGGCTACTTCTGTACTTTGGACTTTACCCATTTATCAATTGTAAAAGAAAGGAACCAGCAGCTTTCCTTTTAAATGAAGGCAGTTTACTTCAATTGCGATATTTAGGATATATAGCACCATCTATTGGTAGGTAGCAGAAGTAGTTCAAATGAATGTATTGTCATAGTCTTTTAAACTCTTATTTAGTCATTTCAAATGAACTTTAATGTTGATTTGCATTCCTTATGTTTAGTTGTTCTTTAATAATCATTGGGTTTATTTGTATGCTTTGGAACTTTGCTATAAATATTTGATTAAGTCACTTTGTATTACTGTGTCTGTGTGTGTGTCCATCAGACCAGATGCAGGGCTCTGTAACACTGAGAAACATCAGCACCAGCACCTCAGGACTCTACCAGTGTACATCCAGCAATGCTATTGGCAAGAGCACGTGTCTGCTCAACCTGCAGGTCATAGCGCGTAAGTAAACACGCTCGAACACACGCTCGAACACACTGCTCCTTAACTGTTCCATGTGACGCTGTTACGCTCATGACACTTTGACACGTTTGTTAAGGGGTACACATTTATAGCTGGAAAAAACCTTGTCTCACTCAAACTCTGACACAAGCGGCTTTAGAAATATTTGTCCTTGAGTGACACCTGTCAGACAGAGAGATACACAAGCAACCAACACATCAACCAGACAAAGGACAGCAGAGCATCTTGAAGACACAGAGTCGGTTTTCGGGTCACATGGGGTCAAACAATTTTGATGGCTTCTTGACAGAAAGCTGTAGCATGGTTACACAGTTGTTGTTGTTTTTTTTATCTGACAGTGTGTGACAGGAGGCTCAGTGTCACAGAAATAAAGGCAGATAGACAGCAGAGTGCTGAGTCTATCTGTCAGAAACTACAGCGGAATGAGTCATGGTGCAGATATAAATGCTCGGGAAGAATATATGTATATATATATCAAAACGCTTCGGTGCCATTGCTTTTTCCACTTTACGTTCAAAAACGATTGAAATAACATGCAAATAAGCACTACATTTCTCAGTCTATGTTCTTTCTTTACCACAGAAAGGATAAACACTGTTTTTAGAGAGAAGGAAACAGCTCCTCCTTTGATTGTCTTGTAAAATCAACACATTATATTTACATCCTCACAACACACCACAAATAACTAATTGTATTTTCAAGTTCCTACAACCCATTGAGCTCCACTGCTAGGGCTTATCCTGGGTGACTTAAAAACACACTTACTGTCAAGTGTTTGGAAAACATTGGTAAAATCTGTTTCTCTGTTTCTCCCACAGCCCAGCCTCAGAGTGTTGGCCTGATAGCAGGCACCATCGCTACAGGAGTGCTAGCTCTCATCATCTGTGGCCTGTTAGTGGCGGTCACACTTTTCTACTGGAAGAATAAGAACAAATATGACGAGGAGGAGATCCCAAATGAGATCAGGTTTGTCTTTTATTTGTGGCTTCGGTCTTTTGAAAACCTTTGGAAGTCTCCTGTTGGCAAAGAACAGTATTAATAGATGCATTTGATACAGTGTCTCAAACAGGGATTGATGTATTCTAGATTGTTGGGGCTTATTTTTTGGCCCCTCTGATGTTGTAAAAGGCGACAAGATGCAGCTGCAGCTTTGTGTTTCCTACTGTAAAGTGATTTATGTCAGTCCATGCAGTCACACAGATTATAGTTAAACATAAAAAACACCCAGACCAGTTAATTGAATTCATAGTTTGGAGAATTCAGTTTAATTGTATCTTCCGACAGCCAACGTGTCCATCATCCCAGGCTAATTTGTCTGTTCAAACAGTGTGTGAAGCTCTGTCAGTTGATTAAATGGTCTGCAATTGTAGATATCTGAGGCTTTGGCTGATTGGGATAACATCTGCCTCATTTTGGGCTCAACTGCAATCATGCGCAATTCCATCCTGACGGCTCTTATTGCCCCCACTAATGGCAAATCATAATGAATATCTTTAATCTCTGCCTAAATTATCTGGAGACATCTTATCTACCAAAAAGTACTCTCTTTAGTAAACCCATTTGTATTAGCATAGATTATATAAACCGCAACTTAAAAGCAGTCTATTGATAACTCAATTTAAAGACATTCACTGTATATTTAAATGATTAATATCTTTAATGCATAGCTTTAAAGATTGTTATATTATGATGAAATAAAGAGAACAGCACTTGTTTTATTCTGTGTTGGACTTATGTTATATGTAGACTTAAAGTGTATAAGCCACATGTGCCACACACATCAGGTGTATCACGGTATATGTTTTAAGAGTCCAGAAACATCCCAAGGCAATAATAAATAAATAAGTGAAATTGAGATGATCAGTTTATTGATCTGTTGACTACATAGCGAAGCCTTTTTTATTTGTAATGCACCAAAGCAGGATTTGTGTTAATATTTAAATATGAACTAATTAGCTATCTTAATGCTATCACTTCTAATATCACTGATATCTTCACAATCTTCTTAACAGAGAAGATGACCTTCCTCCCAAGAGGTCATCATCAGCGAAGGCTTTCCATGCAGACGCCTCCTCCTCAGAGAACGACACGCTGACGTCCACCAACACCTACAACAGCCGCTACTGGCACAACCCCAAACCCAACTACGACACCAACTCCTACACACGCTACAATGGAGATACTCGCCAGACCTTCTCCACTGCGGCTCACGGTGGACATGCACACGGTCAGGCCCAGAACGCAGGACACAGCCACAGTACAGTGGTCACAGCACCAGGCTCAGCTCCACTGTCCCGCCATGCACAACCCAACACGGCAACATCGTTTGCCAATGGCAGCCATACGCTCCCCCCACCAAAAACTCTGGTGGTCACCACAAACTCTGCCCCATCCCCTACCGCCATGGTGCGCAGCAACGGCTCTGTGAGTCTAAAACCGGTGGTGATGTCCGCACACGGGCAGCACACACACTCCTACGCAGTGAGCCAGGCCACCCTGGAGCGGATGGGGGCGGTGCCTGTCATGGTGCCCGCCCAGAACAGAGCAGGCTCGCTGGTGTAACATCTTAGCTTAACTGCTTTGAAAACAAGACTAAATGAGCATTTGGTTAGTGAGATTTTACATCCACTGATGAAAAACAGACAGAATGTGGGCAAAAGCAGCCCGCTGCCCTTTACAATGTTGTCTTTTCTGTATGTCTCGACATCTGTTTCTCAAACCAAGCTGGGATTTTACAGTCCAGAGTTCAGTTAATGCCAATTATTTGTTGAACGGGACACTTTATTTTGTAGTAAAGCACTACATGGGATCTGATCACCCCGTCATTTAATGGATTTTATCGGCAGGTGTGACAGGAACTATTTTTCAACCACTTGGATTCTTTCACAAAGCTGGAGTGGAATTTCCTGCAGAACTTGGATTCCCAGATCCTTTTCAGGGTTGGATCATTGGGATGATTATGTTTTCGTTTAGACTCAAAGCAACACAAGGCATTTTCATCTCAGTGTGTCCATACTGCATGGTCAGACAGAAGCGAGCTCGGATTCCCACTTAATGCATGTGTCTCTTGTTTCGGGATGAACAATGAAGTCTATATAATTTCTAATAATTTCTTTTGACAATTTCGATTGAGGGAAATAGTTGTGATGATGGGGATTGCTGTATGCATTGAACGTGAATGTTTTAAAATATGTCGGGAAAAACCTAAAGGATACAAGTATAACAATGAAATAATGTCGGGGAGAATGGCCTTAGAAGCTTAGGGAGATGGGTTTTATTGGGTGCCACACATACACAATTCATTGAATGCAAACATTTTAATTACATTTACGCACTTTTCAGAACAACTTTATATCAACACTTCTGTCTTATGAACAATAACTCAGTCTTACTAATGCTATGCTTTAAACCATACAACATATATCAAAACTTACATGCACATACAACATGCTGGTGATGTTTGAAGATGGCACAAACACTGGATGTGTACAACGGAAAGCGACTGTCCCCCTGATCTAACATCAAACCTGCAGAAGGATAATTGTCATAGTCTGTGTTCATTCTCACTGTTGTCCTAAACTGGTTCATGTCACATCAGTGCTGCTTGGAGAAGATTAGAGGATGTCTTACTTCATAAATGCTTTATAAAGAGACAGATATATATATTTAAAGGTAATCGTCCCCCCTCTTGACAAAGGCTAACTTTTTGTTTTCTACTGTACATATTGTAACTACAACAGTAGGCTAGATTGTGAATCAAAGAAAATACATTCATGTCTGACTTATACATATACATCTGCAACTCATGTGTCTTAATTTTGAAATAATTGTTTTTTGTTAAATTAGGCAACAATTGGGATTTCATGATAAGTGTTATGGTTGCAATGAAGGGATGTTTTTTTATAATTTTTTTTTAACGAGGTATTGCCATTTCATTACAAGACCCGAGTTGAATACAGTTTGGGTTGACACATATGGCCATACATTTTGCTATACATAGTAGACACCTATGCTGTATATGGTAGAAAGTAGCACTGCGTTTTTGACCTGCTGTTTTTATTTTAACCAAAACTCAACCAACTGTTACAGTGTTCCCAAATTCTTAATTCTAATTCTTATTGTGCATTACCTTAATGCACGATACTCGCTTTGAGCTATGATGCAGTAGTGATACAGCAATTATTTGTTTGTACATGCAGTATTGGAAAGTGTGTTTTATTCTTCAAAGCAATTCCTCTTTGCGTCTTTTATTAATTAAATGTGCTGTATTGACATTTACATTTATATTGAGACAACACAAGGTGCTAATATAATTTACGAAAGTGCTCCAGCTTTAACAAATATAATCCCTTAATTAATGGTGGAGACATTTTTCTTTTTTAATTTATATTATTTAGTCCAGATGACTTTAATGTCATGTTTGTGCCCTTTCTATATGAGTTATATTACACTAACATTCAGTTCATTAAACTGGAAACTACAATAAACTTGATTTGGAAGCCTAAATGAACAAAATGTTCTTTATTCCCAACACATGCTTGGTTAATTTGAGCAATATATACTAACCAGGTGTTATGGAGTCACAAGATGGACCTTCTGAGTATCAGTTGACACTCATCACAATTTCTTGTCAGCAACCTGAAGCAAATGGAACCCTGAACTTCTCCTCTTTTATTTTCCCCATAGTCCTGATATACATGGCTCGATGTCTGATATCTGCATTGTTTGTATTCCTCCACTATTCTATCAGTTGCTACAATGTGCACCAGCCTCACAAATCACACGTGTGTATTATTTTTTCTTCCATTTGACCCCGGTCTGACCACAGCTCAGTGTTCTTACAGACACATTTATCCAAAGTGTTTTTTCTTTCTTGTTATGTCTTAAGGCTGTCTGCTGTGTGTCAGAGCTACAATACTCTGTTAATCAGTCTGGAACACATACTTTGCTTTATAAATACAGAAAGGCTTTAACAGGTAAAATGATAAAAGGTCAGGTATCACCTCCCCTCCTTTTTGTCTGAGTGATTTCAGAATAAAATATCCTGTCTGTGTATCTTTCACTCGCCATCTCTCCTAGTGTCCCTGCCCTGAGCACCGGCTGACAACTTTAAAGAAACAACTCTTCTTCTAAAACAAAACTGAGATTATTTTGTTCTAAGTCTGTCCTCCGTTTGCAGGAACAATGGAAGAAAGAGAGCACAATCAGTAGGAAACTACTGAGGCTTTAACCCAGACTAAAACAACATCTCATCTTCTACCTTGGCTTTAGGAAGGCACGCGGTACACAAGGTGGTACATGGGTTGTGTACATAGATAAATAATGATATGTGATATATTGCCAATAGTAAAACAAACCTGTAAATATGTATAAAAAATACATCTTGTTCTTACTGTTGGGTTGACATGAAATAGGAAAAATAACACTGGAACCTGTAGTGAATAAATATTGTTAATACATTCTAATCGGCTTGCTGCTCGTCTGTTCGTGTGTTGCATGTTTTATTTGGCATGATACAATGTCCCTGCCTAGAGTACAAGCTTTTAAGATACAAGTTACACACTGAATAGTTAATAGCAATAATCAAAGAGAAACAAGAAGAAACAAATACGACATAAAATAATTTCTTTATAAGTATTCTAGTGGATCTGTCACAATCTGATGAAGGACCCAAATGCAGCACTCAAGAAACCAAGGAGTATTGGAAATATACTTTATTGGTAATACCAGAGCAGAGGGATACCAGCAGAACAGTAACAGCCAGATGATGTGCAGGCAAGCGAACCAGAGGACAGCAGGCAGAAGGTGAGTCAGGGTCGGGCAGAGGGTCAGGGTGCAAAAACGTGGGTGTGGTTAACAGGTGAGACAGGTGAATGGAAAACTACTGGCGAATGATGAAGCAGACTGTGACAGGATCATGATTCGAAAACTGAAATATGTTGCTGTATAAGCTACACTTAGGTATGATGTGTGAATATTCTGCACTAAATATCTCATGTAGGTATCATCTTCAGAAGGAACTGCTGCTCTCATTTAAATAACATATTTCATGCTTTGCTCAGCAAGCCTTCTATGAAACTCGTTCATTCTGCCTCTGGTGCTCCTGCAGGCTGTTAAGACAACCATAAAGACGAGAGCAGTACAGAATAACAATATGAAGAATATGCAAGTGTGCTAGTTTCTTTATGCTCTTGTGGTTTCCACTCTATTCCCAAGACAAATTGTGTAATACTGCACAATCGAAATGTTTTCCAAGTAAAAATAGAGATTATTTCGAGATATAGATGTAACCTAATCATACTGCACACTGCTTCTGAGATGTGTATGTTTTATACACTTGCAATATTTGTTTTGGATTGTATTTAGTTGTTTGTGTGTGTGAGTGTTTGTGTGTGTGCATCTAAAAAATAATCTGTGTTGGATTGGTCTGAAGCTGCAGTTCTTAAATGTACCGCTAGGTGGTAGTATGTATACACTCAATACCGCCAGTGCTTGCAGAAATGTGATGTTCAACTCTGTCGACTCTTAAATCCTATCATAGTTTAAATCAGTACATTATGAGACATCATTATAAAGGCAAAGTTATCTAATTTATGTGAATTAACTGTGAATGGACTCATTTAAATGTATTTAAATAGAGGGGGAAATCATTTGAAGCTGACATAAATCGTATCTGATGCAATCTCAAAGGTGGTGGTTTCACTTCTCATCTGAATTTCCATCAGTATTCCTCTATTCTTTCTCCAACCCGCATTTCAACATTAAAATCAACAGCGGTGACCTTTCTCTTGCGGTTTAAAAGGCCTTTTGAAAAGCAGGAGAAAAAGGGCAGTGAACCAGAGCTCCTGAGGATTGGGCTCATTATTTGCACATGACGCCACCTTTGGATGTGTGTGAGTGTTTGTGTGTGTATGTGTGTGTCTTCAAACTCCTCAGCATAGCTTTGGGTTAAATAATTATATTATTTCTGAGATCTGAAATATGTTGAATCAAAGAAAGTTGCCTTCCAGTATTCCTTTTTGTCCTCCATGTTGTCATTGATATTTGTGTTCTTTTACTATTTTCACACCCTGCATCCATCTTGTTTATGTGCTACATTACACAAAACAAAAAAAGTATTCTTTAGTCAATGCATTGTAATCTCTTATAAGACCTACATTACAACTTGCTGTTGTAACATTACACATTACAGTTAAATATATAATGTATTGCCTGGTTCATTTCTGTGTCTTGTTATTAGTTTAAGTTTACCTAAATCCGTCAAATGTCATTATTATATGTCCGCTGTTAGCTATGATAAATGTCCTCACAAATGGCTTTGCTAGTTTAGACAGTTTATTTATAACTCCTGCCAAGACTTACTGCAGCAAATGCCTTTTCATTTTAATGAAAATGCTACCATGTGCTTAGTTGCCACAAAACATCTGTGAACCAACCAATCCAAATACTAAATAAAACTGATGCAATAACCATCATCATTAATCCCAACCAACCAGCACTGGAGAAAGCATTTCACCACCATGCTTTCATCTTAATTAAAGCATCAACCAACATCCTCGGAAACGGAAGCATCCTTTATTTTTTGTATGGTTTATGGTTTCTAAATCAGTTGAAACATGCCTAAAGAGCATGGACTGATTGGAAATGGCATCCCTAATATATGCATTTGAGGTAGTAGCAGAAAGTCAAGACACAGACAATGAATTCACTGACCATTGAGATGGCAAAAAAGAAATAAAATAAAGAGAGCGAGAGAGTTTGAAAAAAACAAACCCATTTCCCAGCAGGGCGGAGAGGTAGCCAACGGTGGAGCTGAATATGGCCAATCAAGAATCTCTGGTTTGCAGGCTGAATGCACAATGTGGTTTGTGAGAAATCACTTTGGACAACTAGCATGGCCCTAAATAAAATGTTCTCTCCTCTCTAGTGCTGTCTGGCCATCCCATAATAGCCCTAAGCTGTGGAACTGGCTCACTGCCTAAATCTCTTTCTTTGTGTCTTGGTCAGGCTCTTCTGCCTCTTCTGAAAGCCCATGACACTGAACCTTGTATGACAGCTCTCAAGGATGCAAGGACCAGAACATACCAACTCCCTTTAACCTTTACAAAAATGCAGCCTATATTATTGAACAAGTTGCATGAAAATCACTGGCAGTTAGATTGCAATGTGGTTCCACATACATAATACAGTAATCGAAATTATGAAAAAAACACACTTAATTGAAAGAGGCGTGTCTATTCTTAATCTTTGGTTATGACATGGGATGTTGGGAACGAGTGGTCTGTATAGATAACGTCAATATTCACATTACTGATGGACACTAAAAGCCACTGAGGCTAACAATATAACAAGACAGCAACCAGGTATGCCTAAAGAAATGCAGGAAATGCAAAGGCAAAATGACAAAGCAATTGCTTTTTCTGGTTCCCTAATATACGCAAAAATATTCCCAGTCAGCATTCCCTGGTTGAAACCAAACTGTGCCATCCAAGTCTGACTCTGATGACCTCCCCCTGTTGCCTGCAGTATTTGTTTTCTTAGCCATCACCGTGAATTGTGAATATTCTCCACCTTTGTAAAGTGAATGTATATTATATTATAGGTCATGTCAGTTTTCATCACTTTTTCAATTATTCCATCCCAATTTAAAGAAAGGAAACAACAAACGAAGGAAAAACCATGTCTTAACTAATTCATTCAATTCATCAAAGCAAAAAGCCAATGGAATTGTATGTATACAATGAACACAATACTATACGATGGTGAGGATAGAAAGGAATAAAAGACAAGAGTAGTGAGGTGACAGTTTGATGACGTCAATGTTGTTTTCTGTTCTGATGGAGTTGCAGAAGTTGTATAGATGTTATTAACCTCTGAGTCAGAGGTCAGAGCAGTCCGTCTGGGAGAGAATCACAGGGGTATGGGAAAGAGAAAAAAAAGGAAAGAATAAGGTGATACAAATAGATTCAGCACAGTGATGGACATGTCTAACGTGAAGAGGAGAATTGCTCAGAAAAACAATTTCAATTTTGATCAAGAGTTTATTGGAAAGAAATAAAGTAAATCAAACTTGCATTATTTTGAAATGTGCACTATCCAACACGTTTTTGTTCCTCAATACAATTAGATATTAAATGAAGGAGATACAATGTAAATCATTGCAATGTTAAGAATGCAATCAGAGGGAAAAAAGGCACCGTTACAGGAGATAATTTGAAAGGAATTATTGATAAACTCTTACATTTAATGTTCTGCTGCTGTGACTTTGTGTCAGCTGATTTATCAAAGACATCTAATGGGCAATGAGCTTGCTAGAAGAACCATTTTTGTGACACACTAAAACATGATCATACAGCATCATTCAATCCTTAATTTCACTTCTTATGTGATATTATCACATTCTTTGTCCTTGCCTCTGCACATTCCCACCCCTTCGAACCATTTCATTGCCATTATCCTCCTCTCCACCAGATGCCCTTTGACTTCTTCTCCAGTCTGACCACCTGACCT